GTAGGGATCTTCGCCTGTTCTTAGGGTTCGTAGGGATCTATCCGATAGGGTTTCGATTTGAAACGGAGAGAGAAAAATCCTTCCTTCCTTCCTTCCTTTCTCCGTCTTGCTCGCTGTTGTTGTACAGCAAACAATTCGTTGCAGCATTTCTTGTCTTGTCAATCTTTGTCACATACCCGAAAACTGTCGTAGTCTGCATCATTGGAATGGTCACCTCAACTCGTGCTACTGGTTGATTCCATGGTCTCTATAGAGATCCTTCCTCCAAAGTCAATGCATGAGCACTAAAACATTTTGTAGGTTAGGCTTATCATTAATACGTCCACAACAAATTGGCAGAGTTAAGCCGTCTTCATGTGTTTTCATTTATTTAATCGAATAAACACAATATTTTGATTACTGGAATCGCCACAAAAACCAAAAGAATCCACCTTATGAATGGTTGACATTTAGTACCATGAAACATTCATGTCATACCTTTGTTCACACGATTGCTTGCTGCTTGAGAAGATGCAAACTTTTGAGGGTTCCTTTGGTTTTCTTTTTCTCTATTTGTTCCCATCACATTTCTTATCTTTTAATAACCTCCTATCTCTTCTAAGGTAAATAGTGGACATTAATTGTGTTGCATACCAATAACTTATGTAGCTGACCCCATAAACGTGGGTGGTGTTAAATCTCGTATTTTGATGATGAAACCACTTGATATATGTTTATGATTTAATCTGCGTTTTGAGTGACGCATGATGCTTCGATCAGGATGAGACAATTAAAACAGGAAAAATCATGTTGTGCCAGAGGAACATGTTAGAAGATTGGACGTCAGGCCGATGGATCGGTCGACGTATTGACAGAAGGCTTCGGACCGTGGACTCGGGCATCGGGCCAAGAAGAGCGGGTATTGTGCCAAGGATATCGGAGTTGCGGAGTCAACTGACCGATTGGGCAATAGGCCGCAAGAGAGAACGATGCGCCGAAGAATCGGACGAAGCGTCGAGGGACCAATGACATGCCGGACAACTTGGTTAATTGCTTATGATTAATTGTCTCGATCAAAGTTTTGTTTCACATGTGCAGGATTAACTACGATGGAAGAAAGACATGCAGAAGGAGTTGCGTCGGAGTCAAGACTATGATCACGTTGGGAGTTCGACAGTTCGACGGAAGTCCAAACGGTCGTCGGAGGTTCTACGGGAACAAATCCGAGAAGTCCAGCAGCTTGCCAAAGAAGCTCATCGGAACTCGCCAAGTGGATCGTCGCAAGTCCGCCGAAGCATCGCCGAAGGTTCGTCGGATATTCGTCGGAAGTTTGCCGGAAGCTCGCCGGAAGAAGCGATTGACACACCGGAGCAAGTTACAGTAAATGTCTTAAGAAATATCGTAGTTAGCTTGTAGATTAAGTTAGGAATGGGAGGTGATCCCATTAAGGGGCAATTGGGCCCTTAACAGACCCAAATTGGGCCCTTGACAGACCCAAATTGGGCCGAATGGATCAACCCATTCGGGCCAGAATTCCTACTAGGCGGTGGCACCGCCCAAGAGATGGTCTCCCAAGAAAGCTGGGCGGTGCAACCGCCCCTGACAGGAGGTGGCACCGCCCAGAGGCTCAGTTTTCGAGCTCTGCCAGGCGGTGCAACCGCCCCAGTCAGGTGGTGCAACCGCCAGACCCCGAAATTCCAGGAGATGACAGTTTTGAGCTCCAAATTCAAACCAGTTTGGAGCCTATAAATACCCCTCCCATCCCTGGGTAAAACACACAAGCATAGAGAGATTAAAAGAGAGAAAACGCTGCTACAATCTCTAGAATTTCCCTCCTCTAGCTTAAGTGTTAGAATTCTGTTTAAGAGAGGAGAGTGAGTGCTTGTAAGGGTTGTCTCCTAAACCCAGTAACAGGAGAAGAGGGGTGTAAGAAGGAGATTGATCTTCGCCTAGTAAAGGAAGATCGTTAGTGGATGCCGGTGGTCTCGACAGAAGAGGAATCAGAGGAGTGGATGTAGGTCACGATTGACCGAACCACTATAAACTCTCGTTTTCTCTAGTTTGTATTTATTTTTGCTGCTTACCTTACTGCAAACCTCCATATGTGCTTTACTTCATCATTACTTTTGCTGCACTCATTTACGAACTCGCTTTCGAGTTAAGTTTCCGAAAACGGTTTTATGTCGGAAACGATTTCATCGTACGAACGCAGTTTTAAACATCGAAAGTTTTTCGCTGCACTAATTCAACCCCCTCTTAGTGCTCTTGATCCTAATAGGTGGTGTGACCTTTAGATTTGGATATGGATTATGAGATGTGGAACATCCAATTGACATAATTCTTAAGAGGTTCTTGATTTTAGGTCCATTAGATATGCAGCTTTTCCATCTTCTTTTTCTCTTTTTAATGCTTTCAGCTTAAAATAACCTCTTCAGACATATGTTCTCCTTGAAACCTTCGTGCCATTTATTCCTTTTGTGAATCCTTATTATTTGTTACAATTGTATATTGTTGTTTTCCCCTAACAAATTCTAAATTCAAAATGTTTCAAATTTAATTAGAAATTTTGGAATATTCTATCCCAACAAATTATTTTTTATCTTTTGTTAACTAGATAAATAAATTTAATATTAATCTAAAAAAATTAAGTTTTAATTTAATAATTTAATCTTACTTTTAAGTTTTAATTTAATAATTCTCTCATCCCAAAAATAGATGTTTTAACTATCCGAATTTATTAAATTTATAATTTTTACTTTACTATTGATGATATAAAATATTTTTGTTATCAATATTAATTTTATAAATTTTTTTACCCATTATGGCAAATTTTTAGAATACAAAACATGAAATTTAACATTAAAAATTATTCAAACGCAAATTATAGATTGTAAAATCAGATTATATTGTTTATTATACTATTTATCTATTTTTTGTTAATTTAGTATGTTGTATTTATATTTTTTATGATTTACAGAATTTTTAACTCAATTTTATTCATTGTTTATAATTTTAATTAATGGAAAATAGTGTTTAGATTTTGTAAATCATGATTCTATTTTATTTAAATGATTATGCAGATATAAAACTTAAATTCCTTTTTTTGGATTTTTTTATCAATTATATGAATTACTGTACAATTTTAGGTATCTGTGAAAAAAGAATTAAATGAAAAATCGGAATTAAAATTGATCTGACTCAGACCGGATCTGAGTCAGACCAGGCGATCGGGCTCGGTCGGTCCCAACCAGTCTGTGGCGTGGCTTGATCCAGGGTGCAGACTCGACCTGGCTCGGTCTCGCTCGACTTGAGCCTGGGTTCAGGTTCGACTCGAGCCCAGTGTCTCGACTGGACCAGGCCGGCGCAACTTAACAGGCTCGGCCTGGCCAAGTAACGGGCTGCAGCAGCCCGCTGTTTCGGCTCGGCCCTTTCCCGCAGGTTGCAGACCAGGCGCGCCCTCGGGTCGCGTCCCAGCCCGCAGCCACCCTTGTCCAGTGGGCAGGCCATGCACATGATCGATTTGGGTTGATCTAAGGTTTGGCCCAGCCCTGTACTGAGCCGGCCCGACTTGAATTCAGCCCTGTATTGAGTTGAATTCGGGTCTGGATTGGCCCGGTAGCCATGTTTGGACTTCTTTTTGTGCTTATGAGCCCAATTAAACCTTAGACCGAATCTAAATCGAATCGGTTCGATCAATTTGGTCCGGTTCAGGATGATTCTGAATCGATTTAAATCGATTTGAACTTATTTGACCAATTTTGGATCTAACCAAGTTCAAGTTGAACTAATTTATGATGATTCCAGATCTGTCTTATGAGGATTATGAATTGGTTCAGTTATGTTATATTTGAATTGAATCCAATTTGAGTCAATTGAATCGATTCAAATAAGTTTCAGATCAATTGAAGGTTAATTAGGTATGATTCATGATATTGATGGTATTTGATAGCTTTTGGATCGATGAGCATATGTGGTAGTATACAGGATATACGATTGATACGATAAAATGATCTATATGATTTCTATCAGGAAGGCTAATGTATCGAAGGATAATTCTAAATTGGTCGACTGTCAAATGTGATAGTTAAATATATTTTTTTATTATTTTATTGGGAAACATGTGTTTTTACTTTGACAAGTGAAAAATATTCCTTCATCTACTGTTGAGAGAGAATTCATTCTGAAAAATTAAGCATCTTCATGTCGTATTACTTATGTCATTCATAGGCGTACTTCTCAATTTAAGGTTTACTGTATCCTACTTACTGCTTAAGTTTTATACCTTTAGGTTTGATTTATTATATATATATATTATGAATATTTAAATTTTATTTTTGATTAAAATTATTATTATTATTATTATCTTTATATTGCTTGAGTTGTTTTTATGGAAAAATATATGTACGTGAAAAAAAAGCTGGGATGTGACAAGTTGGAAACGATGATGATGGCCATGGCAAAATGCTTCTACGGTTAATACTTTGTACTACTACTGTGGGATTCCCAAGCTTCCTTTTAGCACACCTACTCACGAATCCCACTTTTTGCAGATCCTAAAACCCATGCTCCAAATCTTGAGGGCGGTCACGTTTCACCACCTCGATCTCCTTTCCGACGAATACAGGAAACCAACCTCGGCGCCGCAGCAGCAGCAGCGATAAGGGACAGTGTGAGATGGTAAAGGAAGAAATCCACCTTCAGTGCTCTCCATCCTCTTCACTCCAGAAAAGGCCGTCTTCTTCGTGTACTCCAGTCAAAACCTTCTTCTGCAAATCGACAGCAGCCTCCTCTTCTGACCGCGACTCTGCCATTGGAACACTTCTCCTTACTGGCCCAAATCACCACCAACTCATCATCACATGCATGCCTGCAGCAGCCTTTCTTTATTCAGAGTTTACAGAGCTCCCATGAACATTTGACCAAGTTGACATTAGTCTTATCGCCACGATACCCCGCGCCCTTTATCCCCCATCACGCTTCCAAAAAGTACACTACTGCTCTTCCGTCAATTTCAACCACACTATAATTTACCTTTCTTTTGTTCCCTTCACGAGCAGATTCTAAGACGAATTCCACTACCCCACACCATTGTCACTTCCTTTGCACAACCCAAGTCCTTCAAAAAGAAGCACCGGCAATGATAACCCAATGAAAGAGCAGATACAGTGAGAGAGACCGCAGAAGAGAGAGAGAGAGAGAGAGAGAGAGAGAGAGAGACCACTTTGTAATAGATGGGCAGCCTCACAGCCCGTTACCGTCATACTTCTCTGACTCCTTTTCCGAGCTCTTCGTTCGCATTGCCATTGTTAAGATTGGCCCTCACAGTACTCGCCTTCCTGTCTCCGGCCGCTGCCGGCGACCTCTACAACCTTGTCTATAAGGGCTGCGCCAACCAGTCCTTCCCCGGCGGCGCTGCAGCCTACGGCCAGGCCCTCGCCGCCCTCTCCTCCTCCTTGACTGCCCGCGCCGCCACCTCCGAGTTCTACAAGACCACCGCCTCATCCGCCAACGGCGGCCAGTCCCTCTTCGGTCTCTTCCAGTGCCGCGGTGACCTCTCCTCCTCCGATTGCTCTGCCTGCGTTAGCCGCCTCCTCCCCATGTGGCCGTCTCTCTGCGGCTACGCCGCCGCCGCCCGCGTCCAGCTCTCCGGTTGCTACGCCCTGTACCAGGTGTCCGGCTTCCCCCAGATCTCTGGCACCCAGATGCTTTACAAAACCTGTGGCTCCGGCGGTGGCGGTGGCGACTTTGAGGTCAATCGGGACACGGCCTTCAGCCAGCTACAGAGCGGCGTCGCTGGCGGGCAGGGGTTCTACACCACTAGCTACGGCTCCATCTACACTATGGCGCAGTGCGAGGGCGACCTCTCTAACGGGGACTGCACCGACTGCGTGGCCCAGGCCGTCCAGAAGTCGGAGGTGGAGTGCGGCGGCGCCACCTCCGGCCAGATCTACCTCGACAAGTGCTACATTAGTTACAGCTACTACGCGAATGGCGTCACCTCCGCCGGCAGCGGCGGTGGCGGTAATGGAGGTGAGGACTGTTAGTACGACTAAAAATTTCAACTTTGATTCCTTTTATCTTCACAGATAGTTTTTCTTGCCTTTTCTCTGATTCTCAAGTTCTAAAGAAAGCTTTTTTTTTTCGTTTTCTGTGTTCCTATAGCTCACATTGCATTGGATTTCCATCTTATGAGGTTTTTGGTTTCCTTCTTATGAAGTTACCTTCTCATTCTTTCTCGGGTTCTTCTGGTTTGAAGGAAGCCTCCTGTGCATGCATACACATCATATTGCATCTGATTTCTTGTTTCCTTTTGTCATATGCTACTTTTCATTAATATTACATGGATTCGAAGTTTTCTTTTCAGTATTCTCTCTGATCCTTACAATCTGAAAGTGCAGCCATTTGCATTCGATCTCCAGCTTACAGGTTTTCTTTCTGTTTCCCTTTTGCCAATTTACAGTTGTAGATGTTTCATTTGCTGGAATGGTATTGACTTTCTATATCTCGGAGGAAGGTGACTTATGTGCATGGTTCCAAATAAAATTGATGATAGTTGATTGCTTCTCGGTGATCAGGGCAAACAGGGAAGACAGTGGCCATAGTGGTGGGAGGGGCAGCAGGGGTGGGTTTTCTGATCATCTGCTTGTTGTTTGCCGGGAGTTTGATGAGAAAGAAAGATGGTAAGTGATGATGCCATTAAAACAAACCTTGGGTATGTGATGCAAGAAGACCTGTTCAACTTTTAACTCTTTTGTGCCTTCATTTCTTTCAGATTTCTGAGGTTGGTGGGTGACAGGTGGGCAAGAACAATGGTAGGGGAGTGGGAGAGTTACAATTCTGTAGGTTTCTCTTCCATGGGGTTGTGGATGGATTGTAAGGGATAGAGAGCGAGAGATTTGGCTGTTTGCTATGGACATAAGCAAGTGATGGTGGGGAGAAGGTGAGAAGGAATAATGGGTTGGATCCAGTCTGGGGTGTTTTATAATATTATTAATACCTACATAGAGATGTAAACCTAAATAGATTCAATGTATTCTTTTTCACAGAATACATGCTAAGTTTTGGTTTGTGAAGTGGATCTCATCTAAATATTAAGTAATCATGTTGAGAGATGGGTTTTGCTATGCTACTTTTTCTCCAAATGTTATGCTTGTTCTTGTGAGAAGAGAAACTTGCTGTCATGCACATTAAAATATAATCCAGGATCATTATACTTACTTAGCATGACCAAATTCTTCCTCAGGAGTAAAGAATTGTGCATATGAGTTGTTCTTAAAGCTTCATTTCTTGGAGAAGCTTCAGTTTTAGTATTTGAGACACATGGAGAGTTTGTACTTTTGTGTGATTATCTGTACAGTAGTATGTGTTCTCCCATCATGAGTAAGCCTTATTGATGGATGCTGCAAACTATGATGGGGAGTGGGGTGTACCAAAAAGATAAAGATATTTTTGTTATTTTATAGTCAGGAAAAACCTAAACTTGTCAATTTGATTTTTCTAAATTTCATATTTTATAACCAGGAAAAACCTAAACTATGAGTGCTGATGTAATAAATGACAAATTTTAGAGTATCTTTTAAAAAAAATTGAAGTGTTCACTTGAGTAAAAACTTAAGGTTTTCTAATGTAAATTACTTCTATGTTTATCTTACTTTCATGTTAGGTGTAGAGGTATTTTTAAGAGCCCTAATTAGATTCAAACAGTTGAGAAGATAAAAAATTCAAGTATGAAAATACTTTTTTAGTTACTTAGGTCTAATTTGTTATATAAATATTTTATATATCTCAATGTTTTACATGAGATATTATTAAAAAAAAATCATTTTGGATCTTAAGATTTTGATCTAGAGAGTTAAAAAGAAAAATTCTTCAAAGTTTATGTTAGAAGATATAGAAAAAAAATTGAGCTTGAGTTCATATTAACTCAAAATAGAGTTATTCTTAGTGACTATTTTTTCTCTTATAGTAAAGATCATGTTTTCTTGATGGACATCGGAATGGATTGTCAAACCATGTAATTTTACCATGGTTTTTCTAATTTATTTAAACTTTAAAATATTCTCTTTTAGTTCTAAAAACTTGGATGGAGTAAAATAATATCAAAGCTTAAAAGTGATAGCGATTTAACAAGGATATTATTAGGTGTTTCTATAAATTTTTATCACATCATTAACTTGTATGCATAAAAAATCGCCCCTCTTCAAATAAATTATATATATATATATATATATATATATATATATATATATATATATATATATATATATATATATATATATATA